AGCAAGGCGCTATCTGCACACGCGCAAATGTGTGCGTGAAGTGGCAGGGTTACCCCTCACTTTCTCCCACTATTACGTTACGTGGCGAATCTGTTATCTATGATTATATTAATAGAATCCTAATAATTACACACGTCTATTAGGTATTTATATCTATATATTATTATATTTTTCATTAATTCACTAAGTAGAGTAATATTGTAGCTTTATTTCAAAAATATGTATATTACAAGCATTTAAAATGTTATATTTCGGAAATGTAACTTTTAAGTAAGGTAACCAAGGTATTTGAAATTGCTTGTCCAAGTTTAGTTAAGGATTACATATATTCACTACCTACGTAATATTTATCGGAAATACGAATAGAAAATTCGCGAAGCAATGGCGTCTCATTATATTGATATAATAAATCTGTATTTTTTATACATACGTTACTCTGCAGTAAATAAATGAAGAAAACAATAACTGAATGAGTCTCAGACATGTTTTTTTTTTACTTACTTCGTTTTGTCTTTCGGAAAATGATCATAAACAGCTGTAGACAGCACAATTCACGACCAATAGTAACGTAAAATGATGTTTTATATTAACGTACTAGTTTCGTAATGAATACATGAAAACTATATTCAAATATAAAAGCCGTCTTCGCGGGAAAACGGCTCGCAGCCTTGTTGTCGTTCAGTCAATGTGACCGGCAATGTGCGGGGCGTGGTGCCGTATCTAAAACTAGGGAGGGGCGGAGAGTATCCGTTCTCTTATTCTTTATTCTCTGGCATAGGACCCAAATGAAGCCACCCTAATAATAATAGAATTAAAAAATAAAATTCACACTTACCCCAATACCAATATCCTTTCTTGAGAACGAAAAACATGGTAACATTGATTGATTTTCCATATAACATAGTGCTATGCTGTGTATAAGGATTAACAAACTTAGTTATACCGGGACTCGGAAATGATAAAACGTGTTCTTTATAACCATCGCTGTACAAAAGTTGTTCGAAAGAGATACGTAGACCTGGGAGATCTAAAATATCAGTCCGTGATCGGGTCTGTCGTTTCATTCTTGACATGGATACGGTCCAGGATGGATAATGAGCAGTGTAGATAGAAACTATAGAATCATATTTGGCCGATAGATTTTTCAATGGTGATTGCATGAAGTCATTATGTCTGCGAAGTAGGTCGGATCTTGATTCACCTTCTAGCGCGTCGTTGAGGTTGATAAATAAGTATTTTCCACTCTTTGGCACGATATCGGCAGAGAGACCATTTTCAGTGAGTTGAATGTGATTAACATTTTCAGGGTTCGCAAGCTTGTTAAGCACGCTTAGTGGGTTTTCGACTGACGGTACATATAACGCGTTCCCAATTATAGAATGCAGATACGGGAAAGACGTCTCACCATTGCTGTTTTTCAACGAAAAGTCTTCGACAGACAAAGTTTCCTCGATGAAAATCACTGTAAATGGATCCTTCTGAAGCTCGTGTTTAAGCAACAGAAAGAATTCCGGGAACGTTACCTTTGTTAATGGGTTAAATTTTTGCGAAACCTGCAACAAATCGCCCCATAAAAACACGGGGACCTGCACCGAAGCTATACAATGTACCACGCTGAAAATAACGACGATGGACTCTATGCGGCAATACGCCATATCAAATAGCTTACTTAATTTATCACTAAAAGACGTTTGCGGACTAAAATTATTATTATATAATGATTATATATCTCGAAATTCGTAATATAAAGATAAAAATGGGCGATGAATACTGTGACCATCGGTCATGTGGAAAATGATAATATGATGCAAAGAGAATGTAATCACTACGTTATAAAGCCCGCAATACATGTTGGCCGAGTCTAGGCCAACGCTAGCGTAAGCAAATTGAACAAATTTTGTGGAGCTGTGACACGTTGGCCGCTGTCAGTTTTCATTGTGCATTGAAACGTTCAAGTTATTGCAGCTGCTGCAGTTTATTTAATGAGTGCCTGTATTATTAAGTGTATACCGCAATAAAGTTGTAAAATAAAAGACAAAAAAAAAGGTCGTAGATGCTGAGTATTCACAAAAGTAGAACAAGGTAAGATAAACATAGAAGAAGGTTTTTGGGGTGCCAAATAACAGGTAAATTCTGATAATATCTTGAAAATATCTTGTTTTGTACTGAGCGATGTTTTGCAAGTATTACCGCGACAGACGCCAACCAAGTAATAACGGGCTGATCGGACTAACGTGTGTACACCATTGGCCGAGAGTAGGCGAGCGCCTTTGCTTTGTGCAGAAAAACCGACATCGTTTCGAAGTAAGACGAAAGGTCGCGAGGGACAGCAAGTCGTGATAAGTCACGCCAAGCGAGGCATGTACACGTCGGCAGTCGCCTTCACTCGGCTAGCTAGGCGAGTGGCACCGAGCGAAGGCAAGGCAAGGAAATAGGATGTCTACACGTTGGTATTGGCCTTCACTCGCCTAGGCTCGGCTAACATGTATTGCGGGTTTAAGGCTCAACTCACACAGGCGCAACTTGCACGTTGTTGTTGTTGTTGTTGCAACGTTGCACTAAGTGCAACAATTAAAAAAATTGAGAAAAGGAACAACGTGCTGTCATCAAATACTTGTTTAAAAAGAGGTTCACGCCGAAAGAGAAAGAGATAGTGGCATGGAAACAACATTAAGGAAATCTGCTCCATCGTATACGTCTACAAAAAAAATGAGTCGCAGAATTCAAACGTGGATGAGAGAGCATCGAAGAAGACCCTATGTCTAGCCGGCCCATGGCGTCTATGACTGAGGAAAACATCGGAAGAGTGTGTGATTTCATTATGGAAGTCCGGAGATTGACTATCACCGAGATTGTTGACACTATGAGCATCTCCTATGAACGGACATAAAACATAATTGTCAACTAACTTGGATCTTAAAAGGTTTCTACTACGTGGCTCCCCAGGTTGTTTTCAGTGGACCAAAAGCGGATTCGGCTCTTCATTTCTGGAGATGTTTGTGGCTGACCCGCGAAAATATTTTAACAAACTTGGTGACAGTGGATACTACCACTATACACCAGATCCCAATCAACAGCTGAAGCAGTGGAAAAATCCTGTTGAACCAACCCCAAAGAAAACGAAAACAGTTTTTGTGGCTGGCAAGTTGATGGCGTCACTGTCTTGGGATGCTACCCTTAGCATCCCGAGACCTTGAAGGGTGTCATCTTGGTGAACTACCTGCTGAAGGGCGAAATCATTAACTCAGCATACTATTGCACCATTTTGCGTCGTTTACGCGTAGAAATTCAAATTCAAGGGAAGCGCTCAGTGTTACTCGGGATAAAATTGTTGTTTCATTAGGATAATTCCCGCGGTTACACTTCTGTCGAACCAATGATTAAAATTCGTTATTGTGGTTTCGAATTACTGCCCCACTTGGTTTATTATCTTGATTTAGCACCATCTGATGTTCATCTTTTCCCAAACATAAAAAAACACCTCACAAGTCAAAAATTGTGGTCGAAGTGTCGAAGCAACATTAAATGGATATTTTGAAGACCTTGAAGAAACTTTTTTTTAACGGATGTAGAAGGTTAGGATAGAAGATGAAAGAAATGCATAGAGCTGTATGGAGATCACGTCGAAAAATAAAAATATTTTTCCAACATTTAACTTTGTTTTCTTGGTTAAGCCGCGAACTTTTCAATCCACTCTGGTATATTGAGTCTCGGTTTAAATCGTTACTACATAGTGTTTTGAATTCCAAAATGCCAAATAAACGTCTTTTTATCCATAACTCGTGAACTCAAAATTTCCGTTTCCTTTGTCTTTCTTCAGCTTCTGATATAATTTCAGTTTCTTCCTCTTCAGCTTCAGATATAAGAGCAATTATAATAAGATCGATATCAACCATTGTATACTGTCGAGCACGAGCGCCATTCACGAATGCTCAAAAGTCTCTGAACTGGTCCAGCACTGAGATCCGGGCGCGTTAATGCTAGGGTCGTCGCGCTACAACGCGTCTCGCGCATGTGTTGTATTCGAAAACAGGACGCAACGCGACGCTTCGACTCTGCGCCAGTGTGAATTGAGCCTAAGAGACATACATAGATAACTTCGATTCCCTTGCCGGGAGAAATATTTGGACGGCCTACATTTATTTCTCTCGTTAGACAACCACAAATTTGGGTGTAATTTGTGTATGTGTGTGTCCATGACACCCGCGGCCCGCGATACATGGTTTTCCTAGTACGGGGCTATTAGTGTGTGCGCGCTATTGTAGACATGGGTAACTCCGGTCAAAGAAATGATACTGAAGCAAGGGAATCGAATCTGCTCGCGATTTCATCCGATGCAATGCTATCGATTTCGCGGAATTATTATTACAGAGTTTGGTACATTCGCATCGCAACTCTTCGATTCCTTTTGGAAGGTTGGTTCGTTTGTTTTTGTGCCTCCCTTTCGGTTAACGGGTGATCGCGAGTAGATGTTAGGGCGAGACTCTATCCCTTAGAGGATGGAAAAAAATCGCTATCCGCTAAATTGCATGGCAACGGTATGTCAAATGAAAGAAACAAATAACGTTCTTCTTTTATAACGTTTTATACTATATATAACACCGTACTGCAAGCTATTTTCGCTTTTGCACTCGCGCTCGTTCGTAAGTATAATAATGACTCTTAAGAAAGTCTTGTAATTCATAATATTGAATGCTCGCACTGTATTTGTACTTGTACGTAACTCAAAATGAGACAAGTTCTGTGAGCTTGCTCTACGGACGGACATAATACGGAGTAAATATTATTCATTATTTGGCAAAAACTGGTAACACTAAACAACCATAGACAAACGTCAAACTATTATCCAACTAAATTAAAACGGTCAGCGATAGTACGAGGAACTTCTGATATCGTAAGAGTTTTGACAACTAATGTTCACGACTAGCGCTATCCAAGTAAGCGTAATAAACCAGTTAGTATAACATCATATGATCATTTTTCACATGACCGATGGTCACAGTATTCATCGCCCATTTTCGTCTTTTTAATACGAATTTCGGGCTAAAATAGTAATTTTAGTCCGCAAACGTCCATTAGTGTTAAATTAAATAAGCTATTCGAAATGGCGTATTGCCGCTTAGCGTCTATCATTGTCGTTTTCAGCGTGGTACAGTGTATAGCTACGGTGCAGGTCCCCGTGTTTTTATGGGGCAATTTGGCGCAGGTTTCGCAAAAATCTAACCCATTAACAAAGGTAACGTTCCCGGAATTCGGTCTGTTGCTTAAACACGAGCTTCAGAAGGATCCATTTACAGTTATTTTCATCGAGGAAACTTTGTCTGTCGAAGACTTTTCGTTGAAAAACAACGATGGTGAGTCGTCTTTCCCGTATCTGCATTCTATAATTGGGAACGCGTTATATATACCGTCAGTTGAAAACCCACTACGTGTGCTTAACAAGCTTGCGGACCCTGAAAATGTTGATCACATCAAACTCACTGAAAATGGTCTCTCTGCCGATATCGTACCGCAGAGTGGAAAATACTTATTTATCAACCTCAAGGACGCACAAGAAGGTGAATCAAGATCCGACCTCCTTCGCAGACATAATGACTTCATGCAATCAACATTGGAAAATCTATCGGCCAAATACAATTCTATAGTCTCTATCTACACAGCTCATTATCCATCCTGGACAGTACCCATGTCAAGAATGAAACGACAGACCCAAGCACAGACTAATGATTACCATATCAGCGGTCTGCGTATTTATTTCTCACGAGTTATATTCAACAATGGTTATGGAGAAAGCAATTTGACTTATGCGGGGTCCGGTGAATCTGTTTTTAATGATGGAACACAGAACAGCACTTTGTTATTTAACGATAATACCAATGTTACCTTGAATTTCGTTAGCAAGGGAGGATATTGGATGTTCAGTGAGTGTGAATTTTATTTTTAATACTATTTTTATTATTAGGGTGTCTCATTCGGGGCCTATGCAGCCTGTCATCGCTGAGATCATTAACTGACCTATTGTGATCACCACTAATTACAGTTTTGAGCCAAAAACATCAACATTTAGGAACTGAAGGACTTTCGTGGCTCCAACAGTTTTTATATCCTCTGGGTGTGGCCAGTGCCTACCCACTATAGAACTTTGTACGCCCATTAGATGGACAGGAGTTTCATCCACTTTGTGGCAGAAACTACATTCTCTGTTTTCTCTCTGCCTAATATTTGACATGTGCTTATTCAAGCCACAATGCCCTTTTAAGACTCTAGTCAACATTCTGATGCCATTCCTATAACGTGACAAAGCTTCCCTACTGTGTTTGGGACTGTAGGCAGCTGCTTTTGAATGCTCTAGTCTGCAGCCACACGTCTCGGGAGCGTGTCTGCTCTCAAAGCTAGCAAAGTGAGCTTTGCCAGGCTGTGCTTTATCGTTATAAAGAGCTCGGGACCAATGAAGGTCTTCGTAGTGGCCTACTGGCCACTAGGGAGGCCAGTGCCTCATTACCTTCGACGTCAGAGTGACCAGGAACCCAACACAGGACCACATTATTTCTTTCCCCAAGAGTACTCAGTATAATTACACAGTTCTGTACAATCTTTGAAGTTTGGGTGACTGATGATAGTGCATGTAGAGTGCCTTGACTGTCTGAGTTTATATAAAAATACTTGTTAATTCTTTTTGATTTAATTCTAAGGTATGCATTTTTTTTAAATTCAACTGTACATTGATGGTCTTAGTCATTTTTAACCCCGACTTCAATAATCATGTAAATTGTTGGAGCCATTATAAAGACTGACTTGGAAGAAGGACTTGGATTATTAATACAAAGATCAAACAATTAAAGACAAGAGAAATTGCTTCAGTTTGACTGGATTCCAGAGGCTTGCCTCAATGTGGCTCAACTGCTCTGCCAATTTACAGACTGAGCTAGCAAATTTACAAATTTCTCTGATGTTCTTACTTAATTTAAAATAAATAAAATAAATGGCTGTGTTGAAGATACAACAGCCTTATAATGTAAAATAAAATAAAAAATTATATTATATAATGTGGAACTACAAGTGAAGTATGTTTATTGCTGTAGACACTACAGTTTCTAATTAAATATATAATTAAAAAAGCACTTCACTGACTGCAATTGTACACTTGTACTAGGGATAGCATACAGCCTGGCTAAACTCACTCTGCTGAACAATAGCACACACCTCTCTCGAGAAGTATAGCTACAGCGCAAGGGTCTTGAATATTCAAAAGCTCGGCCAATCAAATGCTCTGCAATACCAAGCTCTGTAGAGAAGCTATGTCATTGGACAGGAATGGCATCAGAATGCTCACACATTGTGACATTGTGGCTTGAACGAGCACGGCAAATATTGAGCTGAGAGATAATAGAGAGACTAGATTCTGACAAGTGACGGATGTAACTGCTACTCACCAATGCTACCGCTTGATGTTCCATACTTGGAAGGCACATGTCACAACCTCCAATGACGCCCTACAGCTGGAGCATTGCATTAGGATGTGTGCAGCCATTTCTTGGCCCTTCATGCCCGCTCTGCATAAAGGACTGTTGTAACACCTAGATACCTATATACATAAACTAGAGAAACTCATTAGAATAATATAATAATATATTTCCAGACTCCATTGAGGTAAAATTGGCTAATGATTCAGAATATATCCCAGCCACAACTGAAGTGTATGCTCTTCTTGACAATTCCTATCGCTGTGGACAAAATGTTACCTTCAGTCCCATCAATGTGACAAGGTCTTATAGCTTGGTCTTCCAGGACTTGAAGGTAAGTTTAGACATACCAGCAGCCTAACTGGTTTTTGCTTGAAGACTGATTTTTCAAGGCCCCAAGCCTACTAATTTTAAATTATCTCAGTAGTGTGTGGATACAGTGGCAATGGCACGATTATGTTTGGTATTCTGCTAAAATAGAGAGTAGTAAAACTGCCTATGCATATCTGCTTTACTACTCTCTTTTTTAGTAATTTAAGGGCTGATTAATAATAATTTAATAAGGGCTCATTGAAAACCAGAGTGGCAATTTTTGTACGCGGGGTAACCTATCATGAACTCGCATTTTTTTTTTAATGAGTAAAATTGGCTAATTCATTTTAATGCTTATATGCACATTGTACAGCATCGAGTTCTTAGATTTTCGCGATTGTTACACATAGGAAATTAAACTATTTTTCCAGATTTAAATCGCGTATATTTGTTTTGTCAAACAAACCGACGTTTCGGGCCCTTTACAGATCCCATGGTCACGCTTGACTGAGGTGTTACAGTCATCAACCAGTTATGTCTAATATTAATGCAAACCACCCTATTTTTTCACTATAGTTATAAAAGTTATTGACTAAGTAACTTATTTTTAATTTTATAAAGAAACATTCCAATTTATGCTGTTTTACAAATAATTTTATTTTAACAATATGAGTTTTTATTAAGTTAAATTTATTATTAATTAATAATGGAAATTAGAATAAATTCAAACATATGAATTAGTACTGCAGTCTTATGTCTGTATGGGATTTTTCATCAGAGGAAATACTGGTTCCCAAACTGGTGGTACGGAGAAAGCATCTTCCCTGTTGAAATTTGGATTTTTTAAAATTTCAATGGCCTTTTGCAAGGACCTGGGGTTTGAAGTCCGTTATCTACCCAGGATGCTTCAAGAGGCCATTGAAATTAAGTTTTATAGTTTCATTTTCTACACTGCACAGTGTTTCTCATTTGCAATAACCCTCTCAATTAAACCAGGTCCAACCTTACTTCAACGTCACAGAAACAGTGCCCGCGTGGGGCGAATCCTTCAACTGTGTTGGTTTCTTCAGCGCTCCCATCTGGGCAGGCCTGTTCGTGGTTGCCATTCTTCTGTCTATCACATTCTATGGCATCATGATGATGATGGATATCAAGACCATGGACCGTTTCGACGATCCCAAGGGTAAGACCATTACAATTAACTCTGTTGATTAAGCCACAAATCAAACCCAATAGATAGTTTTTTTTGCAAAATTGTTCAAAAATTATTAATTATTTTTTGTAAAGGACTCACCAGTTATATTTGGACTCTCGTACATTCGTAAACTTTCAAAAGTAAATAACATTCACAGCATTTTCTGGGTTCAAAAGTAACTGGTTAGTTCGTAACCTGAGTTTCTATAGTAATACAATAAATGTTTCCATTGTATGATAACTAAAGGTGCCTTCAAATTGACGCTTATAAAAGCCCTGCAGTTTAAAAGCGCAATTGCAGCACTACTGTCATGACTCGCGCGCGCCACTATTGCAGACTATTATGGATATTGTATGAAAATTTAGTGCTCCAACAAGCGTCTAAATTTGAAGGCGCCTTATGAGGGATTGTATAGTAGATATGTCATCCGTTCTTGGCATAAAATGTTTTATGACAATTTATGTCAAATACAGCTGACATAAGTGTTCATTTTGAATAAATTATAATTTTTTCTGACGACAATAGATAGAGGCCGTAAATAATTTTTACATAAAAAACGCGAAGGTCATTTACTCCAGTAGTTATATATTATTATTAACAAAAATATATGTAAAATTATTATATTGTTATTAGATATATTGAAGTGTGCCTCAGACAAAAAACAGCTTACAATTGCGATTTTAGCCTAAGATTTAGATTAGATGCTAAGAGAAAAACGTGATTGGACAATTTTAAAAATATTACCGCCTTTTTATAAACTTATTTGAGAATTGTAGAGATGATGAAGATTAAAATGGCGGCATGGCAATCATTGCAGATTTGAAAAAATAATAATTTGACCTATTTTTCACTTGTGGACGTATAAACCAATTTCTTGCATATATAAAAAAAAAACCTAACCAAAAATGTGCCTATTTCGTAGAGTACAGATAAAACATTGTGTGTATGTGATACATAGAAAAATATGTAGAATAAATATAAACTAGAAAGCTTTTTAAGTCTAGATTGCAATGGCCTTAATAATTTCAATTAATTGTCAAAGAAGTCTGACGAGGAAATAGAAAGATATAAAAAACAACGATTTCAAATTTGAACTTGAACTGTAGCAGTGCATAGATAATAAATAATTATAAAATATAATATTAAAAATAAAATATTAGATTCCTACATTTTAGTGCCAAGTCAAGTTTGTTCTAATTTCGAATAATGTTCAAAAAAATTGAAAAACGAACTTTCGAACACTGTTTGTTTTTAATTTTTTTTAAATTAAGTGTAAGCATTGTAATCATACCCACTAACTATGCCAAGTTTCAAGTTTGTACTTATATAGTTTCTAAGAAAAAAAATCCTGTAGCAGATGCATAAGTTGAAAGATTCCGTTTTAATTTTGAGGTACAGAACAAATGTTATACAGACTAAAACAAGTGTTCGATAGTTCCAATTTTGTAAGAGCAGTAGAAGTGACCTTCAAATATTATTTATGCATGCGACTATTTAGTTGTAACATTTATAAGCGCTAATGTGCGTGGAGCCTTGATGAAGTTGAAATTATTCTAAAATTTTATAATCAAATTTAAATTAACATAAGTGCATCGATAGTGGCTCTATTTCAAGCATTAACCAGAGGCGAACAGTACCTAGTAGTCAAACATTAAAGTGTCCTATAAAATATTACACAATAAGGTTCAAAAGTACGTAGAGTAAGGGTAAACACTGTTTTTGTTTCAAGTTTATTGTAAATAATCATTTCAATTTACTTTCTGCATTTTCTGTCTCACATATTTTGTTGTTTTTTTTTGAGAAAGTATTAAATTATATTTAGAATTTTTATGTTGTTTTATTTTTTTTTATTCAGTTTCTTTGTTATACCACACAAAAATCTGCTACAGTTTTACAAGCTTCCAAATAAGGGCGCCTTCAACTTAGACGGTGTAGCGGCACGTCTGTGTCTCTACTAATTTTCATACAATATCTAGTCTGCAAAAGTGGCGCGACAGTGGCGCTGCAGCTGTGCTTCTAAATATTGTATGAAAAAATCACTGCAACGCTTTTATAGTCGAGTCGCTTAAAGATGACATGGTACAGAGAGAACGTAAGGCGTAAGGTATACAGTAGAAGTCAAGGTCACCCTGTTCAAAGTCTACTGCCAATCATACACCTGCAATCTGTGGATGGCATTTACTCAAAACGCATACAGCGCCGTAGCATATTGTCTAATATAACAATGCATTCATGATGCTGTTAGAACTGCTGCGCCACTGCAGTAGCGCATCTATAATGTTTCGGCCGTTCTGACATTCACAGTTCTCAGCCTAATTACCGTAACCATTTCGATATCCTCAGCCTAATTACTGTAGTCATTGTTTTTTGTTGCTTAATGTAACCCAATAACATTGAAATATGAACAACTTTAAGCTTAACTATCAATATGTCTAAATGGCATTAGAACAAAGTAGTTTTCGAGTTATTAAAACACGAATATTTTATGGAAACGAGAATTAGATCTAATTACCGTAGCCGTGGATACGGTAATTAAAAAGTTCAAAAAGTTTTTATTCTAATGCAATTTAGACATACTGATAGTTAACATATAGTTAACTCGTTCATATTTCAATGTTATTGGGTATATTAAGCGAGAAAAAGCAATGGCTATGGTAATTAGGCTGAGGACACCGAAATGTCTACGGTAATTGGGCTGAGAACACTGAATGTTAGAATGGCCGGTTTGCAGAAGCACACGAATGGTTTCCAAGCTATGAGAAATCGACAAGCCTCCTGCAGCGAGTGTGCACCAGCACCAAATAAATGTATTTACATATATTTATAATTATGTGGGATTGGTAGTATTTTTCTTATTTAATTGTAAACGGTTTGTGTTCCTACCTTTTTGCTGAGAAGTATTATTAAAAAGAAATAAGAAGTGTCAAAAGTTGTCAGATTTGTGTTACGTTGTTTGCCGTACAAATTAAAGAAAATAATTAGAAAACTATGGTTACTGTTTATTGTTTACATTCCCACATATATATGAATAAATATAATGCTCGTATAATGTAATTAATGCACTTACTAACATAGTTTATAAGTCTGTTACTAATTATATATGGATTCAGGTCCGAAATAAATGCTTATTATTATTATAAGCGTCTAATTTGAAAGCGCCCTAAACATACACAACACGACTTAGGCTTAAGTGACAATTCTAGAATCGGAAGACTAAAGCACATAAGTAAAAAATGTTTTTTGTTTCTAAATACCAAGTTTATTTTTAACCGACTTCAAAAAAGGAGGAACCTACTAAATTCGACTATGTTTTTTTTTTGTATATTACGCGATAACTCCGGTATTTGTTAACCGATTTTGGTGATTCTTTTTTTGTTGGAAAGAGGGTAACTTAGTATTGGTCTCATTTAAATTTGAAGAAAATATTCCACCTCTAAGGGTGGCAAACTAGGGGCTGAATCCGGTTTCGCACAATTTCCGGTAACCGATTTCAATAAAACTTGGCAAATAGATGTAATTCCACGGATTTTTGAGGTCGGTTTTTAATACTCTGTACTGAGATTGTTGTGTTATTTTATAATGTTGGAATACGTAAAGAGAATTATTATGTTGAAAAATCGAGTATATAACCAGAAATATAGACGAAATAAGGGTCATCCATTCCTGGCAACTCACCACGCAAATGGGCCTTGTAACGGGTCCGCCAAATTACTTTTTTTTTTTTAAATGAAATTAAAAAAAAAACTACTGAATATTTTCTCAAATTTCTTTTTTTATTTGAAAGTACAATCCTTCCGGTTAATAATGAAAAATAATTTCATTCAAATGGCTGCCTCGGCTGGCCATGCAGTAGCCTACACGATCGGTCCAATTTTTAAGCACATTATCGATTGTGTGCAGCTGTATTTCACCAATGGCTTCACGAATATTGTCCTTTAAAGCGTCAATTGTCTCTGGCTTGTCGGCGTAACACTTATCTTTGACGGCACCCCACAAATAATAGTCCAACGGTGTCAAATCGCAGCTCCGAGGTGGCCAAACGACATCAGCTCTGCGGCTGATAATGCGATCTTCAAAAACAGGGCGCAAAACATTGAGTGTAGCTTCGGCTGTGTGGCACGTAGCGCCGTCCTGTTGAAACCAAATGTTGCCAATATCCTCCTTTTCAATTTTTGTGAACAAAAATTCGTTCAACATGGCCCGATAACGATCGCCATTGACTGTTACGGCCACTCCTTGCTCATTTTCGAAGAAAAATGGCCCAATTATGCCTCTGGACCAAAATCCGCACCAAACAGTGACTCGTTTTGGGTGCGTCGGCTTTTCAATGTATGCGTGCGGGTTTTCTGTGCCCCAAATGCGACAATTTTGCTTGTTTACATACCCGCCAAGATCAAAATGAGCTTCATCTGAAAAGATGATTTTTTTTGCAAAATCGGCATCTTCTGTAAGTCGATCGCAGGCCCACGTAGCGAAGCGAAAACGCATTGGATGGTCAGTTGGCTTCAACTCCTGAACCAATTGGACTTTGTATGGCGTCATACCAAGGTCTTTATGCAAAATTCGTCTCAATGATGTCTCCGAAATGTTCAATTGTTGAGAACGACGGTGAATTGATGTTGATGGCGCTTCACGCACACTTTCTGCAACAGCAGCAATATTCTCGGGTGTACGCACTGTTTTGGGCTTTTCACGCATTGGTTTATCGATGAGGATGCCAGTTTCTTTCACTTTTTTCACAAGATAACGAACATACGGAGCTGACGGTGCTTCTCTTCTTCCAAAATCCGTACGCAATTTTCTCACACATTCTGCAATATTACCATGATTTTCAAAGTAATGTCGCAATATTTCCCAGCGTTGTTCAAGCGTATACACAACCATATTCGTTCAGCGGAAGGATAAAACTAATTATCTGTCAAATCAAACATGAGCTAAGTGTTACTATTCACGAAATAAGCACTAGTTGAAAAAAAAAACGTTAGATGGCGGACCCTGTATGACTTTTAAATATCAACTCTCGTTTGCGCTGCAATCAACAAATTAGAATGCTGAAATAGTACAGCGCCAACAACTGACCTGTGCGTGCGTCTTCGTATATTCCAAAAATATTCAGTATTTATTGTGATAACGATAATATGTCTGACTATGGGGAGCTGTTCCATTCGGTGATGTAGGAAATTCTGCAAAACATCTAATTAGAAACACACGGAGTCACATTTCATCGGTAATTAAATATGTAATTTTTCAATTTACGTCCATTATAGCAAAGCTCAAGTTAAACTGGTCTAAAACTTTATATTTACGTATGAATATTTAGTACGACAGTTGCTGTTCCGTTATGTTAGGTAGGCTCGCCACGGGCCCCCGGCGTTCATTACACGGACCCCTTAGGGGATGAATTGGAATGTTGGTTTTGGACTTACGTGCTTTTTAGTCTGCCGACACTAGAATTTTTGTAACGAAATAGTGCGTGCCTTATTGCAGCGTGATTTGACTTGCCAGATAAAAAGTCGCTATTTAGTCGTTTCTAGTCGTAAAAAAACAAGATTTAGTCGATTCGCTTTTTTGGCGATTTAGCCGTTCAAAGTTATAAGGACGTCTTACTGTCCACGTAGGAATAAGCTTATTCCAGCGGCACCATTTCTCAATCTCGAGAACCACAATAACTAGCTTAGATCTGATTACACTAAAAAAAGTCGTGATTTAGTCTAGTCGTAAAAAATTTGAGTTAGTCGTTAAGCCATTTTGAAGTTAAAAGGGTGTCTTACTGTCCACGCTGAAATAAGCTTATTCCAGCGGCACCATTTCTCAATCTCGAGAACCACAACGTCTAGCTTAGATCGGATTACACTAAAAAGTCATGATTTAGTCTAGTCGTAAAAAATTAGAAGTTATAAGGATGTTTGAAGTTATAATAGGTGAGTCAAGTTATAAGGGTGTTTTGCTGTCCACCCTGGAATAAGTTTATTCCAACGGCACTATTTTTTAATCTCGAGAGCCACAACACCTAGCTTAGATCTGATTTCACTAAAAAACGTCGTGGTTTAGTCTAGTCATAAAAAAAATAGATTTAGTCGTTACGCCGTTTTGAAGTTATAAGGGTGTTTTACTGTCCACGCCGGAATAAGCATATTCCAGCGGCACCATTTCTCAATCTCGATAGCCACAACACCTAGCTTAGATCCGATTTCACTAAAAAATCGTGATTTAGTCTAGTCGTAAAAAATTAGATTTAGTCGTTACGCCGTTTTGAAGGTATTAAGGTGTTTTACTGTCCACTCTGAAATATGCTTAATCCGGCGGCACCATTTGAATCTCGAGAACCACAGCTCCTAGCATATAACTGATTGCACTCAGAAAAAGTCGTGAGACGGTTCTAGTCGCGAAATTTTAGAATTAGTCGCCCCTTTGTTTAGAAGATACAACCGAATTATTATTTCTAGGTATACCTGTGTTGTCTCGGAGCTCACGTACAAATTTTGCATAATGTACCGTATTTTTTGTTTATTTTTTTGAAATACAAGGAAATTGGCAAAAAATATACAATTATTTTTCGATTGTCATGTTGTGTATGTATGTCGTGTTGGGCACCTGGCTTACACGAGACCAACGAGGCGCGAGGCGTAATGAATGCCTTAATTGAATGAACGATGACTATTATAATTTATAGCGCAAGTCATTTTCAACTACAATTTGTGTTACGGTTAAATGTGACTAAAAATTCAGTACATATTAAAAATATTCAAAATTATTTTAATCACCACGAACACGATATCTAAAGTGATTTCACAACGAACATTTGGAGCGGTGGCCTTCTTTAAAGGGGTCATTCATTATCCTGCATTGCAGTACGCCGCGTAATGCAGGATTATGAATGTAGTCGCAGAGTACAAACCATCCTGCAATGCGTCCTCCTGCGAGACTCCTTAAGTGGGCCATACGCAGGATAGTCTGTGGGCAGTCTCCTGCCTGTGCTGTGGACTGCCGTGCGGGTAGTGAATGGGTCGTTTTATACTCCGTCCAACATAGACGTATATGCTTTTTGGGTAAACCATGGGATAATTTATTTTGTCATGTTAATAAGCAGTGAGGAAATTTTTAGTGATAGGTGATAGGGTAGCCTTTTCATTATATTTTTTTAGTCAATTGATAGTTCTGTTAATTTTACGGGACATTGGATGATGATCCCATGAGAAGTGGGTATTGTTTTGATTTCAACTCTAATACCCCTAGGCGTTCTTGAGTAAAAGGTAGTTTATACTTTTATAGGATATCGTTGAAAATTACAATCGTGAAACCGATTTACAAAAATCAAGCAAGAAATGACTGAAAAATATATTGAAATAAAAATTCGTAATTATTGATTAAACTTTTTTTATTAATTAATTTACCTAACAGGTATTTAATGTATTTCTTCGGGGTATGATTGATAATTTTATCAAAACAATAAAATAATATAATTAATAACAAAATTATTAGTTTCACTGGTAGAGCTATTGGAAATATTTTTGTTCGATAGACCTATTTCGTAAGACAAAGATATACCCAATAGTTCACCTTCATTTGGAAACTTACGCGAATTGTCCGCGCGTGGTCAAAAAAAACAAGTGTCACCAATAAATTCAAGCCGTACCCCTTTAGAAATGGGAAATATTAAATCTCACAATAATAATATCTTAATTTATAATGAGTTCTTCAACTATGAGTAAAAAATACTAACAATTCATAATTCTAGAGATGTGTTGATTTGGATACGTGCACAAATCGATGGCGTTGTAGAATAACGGCCTGCCTCAAAAGCATCTATGTGAACAGGAAGATGCTATGAGAAAAACTGGACCGTATCTTCCGCGCAAAGACCACGCTAATATTGTCATGTGATTATGTCACCAATAAAAACCTTACAATGCCATTCATGTAAAATTTAGCATTATCTGAATAAATTTCTGTAATAAAAAAGATCAATATCCAAGCAGCAAAATGTTTGTGTCGATGCACAGGTAAAGATTATCTTAGGGGGAGTTTTAAGGGAGTTAAAATGCACACTCCAGTTGCTTAAAAATGACCATAAAGCACTGGCAAATTACACTTTTAAAAATTGTCTATGCATTCGTTTCTCCTGTCTACGTCTTGGCCATGTATGGCAAACATAAAATCACAAAACGTCCATTGCTGAAAACTCCAAATATGAGACAGCGAACTTGAGAAAAATAGTTACATAATACTAGTCTTGCTTCGATAAACAAGAAAAAATATGAATATTTCAAGGTCATTTAAAAACTTGCTAGTGGAATTTTTAATAACGCAAATCTGATCTTGCTTAAACCAAAGATAGATAGCAGGCTTAAGATTCTTAAAATGATTCCGAATGACAAGTAAAGGTACAATACAAGATTCTGTTAAACCGAAATCCATGACACTAAGCCTACCCGATTTAGTATCATCATTAAAAAAAAATAGTAAATTTTATCACTGTACCCAAATCAGCACATAACAAAACAATACAATAATAAGTCTTAATAAATAATATAAAAAAACAACTCTAGTCTACGTGTAACTATCTAAATAATTTTGGTACGAGACATCCAATTCTAGTTGGACAGATTCGGTCCAATAATTGGGCAAATGTTTGCCAAATATTCACCAAGTATTTCAAATATGGAATTATTATTAACATTAAAAAATAAACGTAAATTTATGGTCGAATGTGACCACAGAACTGAAATTCGTCGAGAACTAAAAAGACCTTCAGAAACAAGTGTTAGATAAGACGGCAGCAGTGACGACACGTTTTAGCGACGCCACACATGACTACATAAAAACCGTTTTGCGACTGAGCATCTTCCCACTATTGATTTCATTTTTTTTTTATGATTTCAACAATTAACATCTGTGCAGACTTAGCAAGAGCACAACAACGAAATATTCACGTTCTAAAATATTACGTCACGCGTGTTATTTCTACAGAAGCGAGCATAACCGTCGTGTAGCCTATGCTATAGCAGCGTGAAAGTCGATAGATAAATAAACGTATTATCTATACTTCCGTGAGTTATCTCTACAGGCGTTAACTTAACCATTGAGCACATTGTTACAATAGCTGCAAAGCCTTTTGGCGCTTTGTGCCAAAAATGCAGAATGTCAGAATTGCAGAACGCGAGATAAGCGGAATGTTAATTTCTCAAAACGGTAATTCTCGCACTATTTTTATTTAAGTATTCGATTTTTTTATCGTGCAATATTATTTAATATTTGAGTACTGTATCGTGAAATATTATTTAATAATTACACGGTAATAATAATACACTGGAATATTGAAATAAGGAAAATTTCCACGGAACACAAGTCGGAGAATGACCGAAAAGGAATGACGGAGTCGTAATGGACCTTAATTCCTCGTGATACAGTGACACGTCTAGAAGTGACATTTGAAAATCTGGCAGCCTACTAATTTGATTTTTCACTAATCTGGCATTCTATTAATCTAACATTCTGCATGCATAGCATTCTGTTTTTGGCATAAAACGTTAAAAGGCGCCAAAGTCAATCTAGTCTCGAGTTTTGTCTGTTTACGCTAATGCTAAGTCTGTTCGTATTAACAAAGACATCAAGAAATGTACAACTTCAGATCAATGTTTAAGATTTGCGTGTGAGTTGATTGACATGACGTACAAAACAAATACCTTGCAACTTATCTGTGATATGACAAAAAGGAAATAACCACGAAAATGTCACAGGAATTGTCAGTTATTAACAGACATCGGAATAGGCAATGAGTATAATTATATACCTAGACTTGAAGGAATAC